GATTGAAAAGATTTTTCGGTTTAAATTCCGATTACTTATTAAAGCCCTCTTAGTGATTCTATCTAAAGGGAGAATGCAATTTTGAAAACGTTTAAGTTAAATGCACGCTTCTATCTTATTTAGAATAAATAATATAAGTTTCAATACGCAGGTAACATGTATAAAGTATTCCTGTTTATTAAAACTTGCAAAGAAAGTTGGTAAAATACCCATGTGAACTTAAAGTAATATGTATGTTGGCAAAGTTATACTGTATAAAATTAACTTTGCTGAAGCACAGCTGCAAGACTAGAATATTAATCATAAGAATTTGTCCATACATAACATACAAGGTTCGAAGGAGAGGATCGTAATTATTTTAATTAACTGTGGCCAGAATAATAAGAAACTGTCAGTTTGCCCGGCTTAATAGCTTAACGTTGTGGTTTTTCATAGAAATATTTTAATAAGATTCTTAAAGTAAACGAACCTCTTTCCTAAGTTATCATATTTTTGCACCTGTCAATGATGATAGGCAATTAGGTGTTCATCCTTCCGTGCCTGACACGCATCTATATCGTGCTGATGTTTCCCTTTGGTGTACCGAGCATGTGCTAATTTGCCCAGTTGTGGTTCCAACCGTTTTATATAAAATAGCGTTATTTCAAATCTTCTATGAGATAATGGCTTACATCGGCCACGATTGCATCGTGTTGTGTGTTCTGTGCATTCAGAGAGTCAGGGATATTAAAGTCTGCTAAACTGTGTTTATTATCATTAATAATTTATCCAAGTAATCCAGCGGGATTAGTGTCAAAAAGTAAATGTAAAATCAAAAGGTCAAGTATTAAAAAATTAGAATCTTTTTAAGGGATCTCCGGACTAGTCCAAACATAAATCGTTACAAATTTTATTGATTATAAACATTCCTATTTATTGTAATAGTATAGATGTTATGCGTATAAAATGTAACTAACGTACAGGTCAAAACAATGTACGTTCCCCGTTTCAAGTTAGGTATTGTTAGAATTTATGTTGGTGCACTATTTGAAATTCAAAATGTCTATAATTCCATTACTGCTTGAGTAGAATATATTGTTATGTTACCAGTGGCGTCAGGCGTGGCGCATTCGTGCACGCTTTTTGTTTTACGCGATGTTTTCATTTTAACATGTCTGGTTTTTAAGAGCACAATAATCAAAAACTAGACAAAAACTCACTTTTTATCATATTTGGATACTACATTTACTAAATATTACGGCTAAATTTGAAAAAAAATCCATGTGTTTTAAATTTCAAATTAATCAGTCGGTAAAGTAACGGATTCGATAGACGCTCATAGAAAATTTACGCTTGTGCTTACTCGTCTGACGTCTCTGTACGACGGGCCGCTGCCCCTCCCGCTCCCGACGTATCCACGCAAGCGCCATTATTCTATGTTACGAAATATTCCAAAGTAATTAATGACTATAGTATCGTTACTGACTATCCGTCAGTTTTCTACGGAAAACAATAAATCAATTTAAAAATTTGATTTGCAAAGAAATTAGGTTGGCTATCTGATAATACATTAATGTGTGGAATTTATATTATATCTAAAAAGAATTTAATTTTCAAATTGTATGTAACTATACTACATTTTTTGTGGACATAATAGTGACGCGTGATCGCAACCGACGTTATTCAATGAACTTGCTCTTTTATGTAATAGTCGTATCCAACCATCCCACTTTGTTCTTTGTACTAAATTCAGTTCTAACCTTATTCTACTACTAAACTATGATTAGGAAAACTATGATTATTTGTATATATATTTATATAAAATAATAATCCTACCGGAATAATGTTCTACGTTAATAACGAAAAAAAGTAAATTGAATTATTTCTATAGTTGGGAATATTTTTATTAATCACCTTAGGGGTAAAATTTGACTTGTGATATTAAAAATTCATTTTAATAAATGTCATTTCTTTTGTTATTATATACTTATGTTAGATATGAGAATGATTGTGATACTTAAGCTACGCTCATAAAACATGATTAGTGTTTAAGATTTAAGTTAGTAATTTACCTAAACTTTAATTTATCTTTTATTAAAATTTTAACGTATCCCACTCACATAGAGTTAACACTATAGCGTCTGCTTAGTCTATAATAGTAATAAATGAAAACTATTGTTAAACATTTCTCAATATAAGCGTGATGCATATCACGTAGAATAAAAAAAGTACGACCAATTAGTCTGTGTTAGACATCCTTATCTGGGTACTTACAGACCTACTACTTACTCTCAGGTAAAATAAAATATGACAGATAACATATCCGTCAAAATATTACTCAGTAAGTTGGTAGAACAAGATGGTAAAGTAACTTCCGTCTTTCGTTCAAGGAATAATGTCCGAGGAATAATGTTGGATAATACTATGTGACTGTGTAAACTCCAAAGTAAAACGAAGCATGTGATTTTTCTAGAAAACTGTGTAATTTAATGTTATTATTTTTATTTTGTTTCAAAACAAACCTTTTCTTTGCTTGTATGCCAATTTTCATAATTACTGAATATGAATTTAAAAAGTTATGACAAAAACTAACATGATTATTTCAAATGCTGCCCTGAAAAGTTTACTATTTGTCAGATCCGTCACTATTCTACGACCACGACGAGTAGTAGTAGCTTAACTACAGAGAACACTTTAAAAAAAATTGATTCCTAAAATTAATGAGCTGTCTAGAAAATGATTATTGAACTTTTCTTATTTTAAACTTTTGGGTAAAGTGTTTTCTGATAATGAATTCAATTCAATAAAAGGAAGTGTCTAATGACGTAATAGTGGAGACACCTGTTCCAGACCCAAGAAGGTAGCGATGTCGCACGTTCCTACACATTTTTCATATTTGACAAACGATTGAAGAATCAATCCACCTAATTGGAGAGTAACTAAATGTGAATATTTTTCAATAGTAATAAAGCAATTTCAATATATCGCACTCCCCATAGATCAGTTAATATTACATATATTGCAAAACTCTTACATCAATCAGGGGGCGTCGTAGCTAAACGGTTACATAAGAAAACAAATTCAAAAATCATTTAATCATGTAGGTAACACATTGTACACTTATGACTTGTCAGTAAAGAAATACATATTAATGCTTCTAATTTTACATTTAGTGCCAGTTCTCAAATCAAGGGCGTAGAACGGAAGAGAAGAACTGGCAATAAACTCTCCGCCACTCTTTTTAATCGCCATGTTTTTTTTTTTACACAACGTTTGTAAGGAACTGCAACCATTAAACCATCTTAAGTAATTTATAATAATAACATAAATTAAAAACAAAGAGTTGTCCTTTATCAGCAGGAGGCATGGTGAAATAGGAGCACGCACTTACATTCTCGTGGGAACAACACGCAAACACATAGTCGAAATAATTAACATCACCGCATACACGAATTCAAGTACGACCAGTCACCACAAGTAGCACCCGATCACGAGTATGACGCATGGCCAGCCATCGGCCCCCTCGCCATATTTTAGGGAGAGAGACAACCCGACGCATGGACGCCGCCACAAGCAATGACATTTTATTGATTTGATGACCGTGATTGTGTCAGGTTCGTTTCCCGGTTATATAAGTATAAGTGTATGATAAAAAAAACATTTTTTCTCAGCTACCGTAGGTAGAGGAACTAAGTAAACAGTCCATCCTCACATGACAATGTAATTTGGTTATTAGATCTAAAACGTGTTACCAATGTAAATTTTGAGTGATGAAATCGGACGTCGAGGCAGAATACGAAATTTTAGCAGTATCACCTCTACGTCCGTCGTTCCTTAACTGAGCGTTTTTTAAAGGCAGTTTTTGCCGCGATCCACCACTATATAGAACCCGCTTTCCACTGAAGTATTTCCGAACCACTTCGACTTAGGGTTCTCCAAGAAAAGAGCGTACCAATTCTTAAAAGGCCGGCATGCATGCGAGCTTTCTGGCATTGAGAATGTGCATGGGCGGCCGTATCACTTAACATCATGTGATCCTCCTGCCCGTTCTATAAAAAAGGGGGCCCGGTTTTATAAAAAAAGCCTCAACTTATATGCCTGTCCGATAGGCTGATGTAATGGGATATGTAAATAGAACAAGTAAAAAAACATGAGCATTGAGATATAAAGGCCAAACCCCATTATGGATTGTAGCTATTATTAATTTATAGGATTAATTTGGTTAATATTGTGTTCACCCGACATTGAACTAAATTAAAGATAAAGTTACCAGATGTTAAGCTTAAGAACAGATTAAATTCAGCTTTATTCAGTCAAAGCCATTAATTATTACCTTGTTATAGCTTGTGTATAGCATTATTAATTACAGTTTTAATGAGATGTTTTTCCTTCGATACGATATCAAGGTTAGAAGGAATTCTAACTTGTAGAATTTTTTGTTTGTATCAAAAAGCTTGATTTTTTAATGTGTGATTTTGTACATCAATTAGCCTCATCAACTCGGGGTAAAGAGTCGCGCGCTTAGCCATTAGGATACATTATTTGGTGTATTAGTATTGTGTTATTTTGAACTATGTTATCTACGTCTTTTATGAAAAATTGTTTTTACAACCTCGATATAAATAATGCGCGTTACTGCTTCTATGGTCTAATAGCGGTTCAACGCATAATCCGGATTGAATCATATTAATATGACAGACACAAAATCCTTAGGGAATTTCAGCGGGATTTGAAGTTAAGAAAGAACACTGAACCAATGTGGCGGTTACTTCTATAGTTAATGTGGATGTTAAGTTAACTTACTATTCTTAATAAAAATACGAATCTTAGTTAAATAATAATTAGCTTGGGTACGCCGCTCATAAACACATTTTTATGACCCTTATCTGTCAAGCGCTGAAGATTAGGGGTATAAAACTGCTAATTTCAGCGCTTAAACCGAAAACGGAGTTAAGATTTGCGCTGATAAGCAATGGACTGATCGCTATTTAACTAAAATTTGTTTTCTAACGCATCAGATAATGGGAGAAGATAGGAGTGTCATAATACCGACAGGTCACCAGATATCGAAAAGACGCCGTGGAAAAGGACCTACGTCCATGTTGCCTATTGGTTGGCAATGGTTCTCTAGTTTTGGAGGTTCTCACTGCGCCAAGAGCAGTACGTAAGTATGTAATCCACCAGACTCTGTACAATATTGATAACAAAGTCGAGTGACTTTATCAGATATCCGCGATAAAGATCGAAATAACTTTAAAAGAAGATTAAAAGTTTTCAGTACCATTCACTTCATTCGTAAGAAACTATTGGGGAATTAATTTAAGTAGCTGAATTGCATAGCAATTGTAAGTTCTTGTCCGTTGTACGCCCTTGATTTGAGAACTGGCATTGAATATAAAACCGATAAAAAAAATCTCGAACAAGTGTACAAATATTTTAACTGTATTAGCTTTTTCACTAGATTACAGTACAGATGAACTTAAAATAACCTCGTACACCGATATGATACAAACAGATCGGACACAGAAATAGGTCGACTCAGTTCCGAGCCGTTGAGCGCGCCACCGGAGTGTGTCCTCCACAAACCTTATCAACTTTATATTGAACCCTTAGCTCTACTTACGACCATAACTTTGCGTCCCCAGGATAGAATGCCGCAAAAATGAAATTATATGGCAAAGGAAAACTTTTTTTTTACTTAGTCTTCGGAGTGTCCAACATTGTATATTTTATGACTAGTATCATAAATACTAATATTGTCATATTTTCTCTCTCTGCAGATTTTTGTAATACTATTTTCAATCTTGTTCAAATATATGGCCAAATCACGATATTATCATAATACTTATTTTAAAATACAATTTAATTATGAACATGGATTTACTAAAAATCTAAAATTATAATAAGATGACGTTATCAAAGTGTTTTTAATATCTTAGAAGTAACATGACTTTTAATCACAAATTGGTTCTAAAATCATTGTTAGCAATAATTGATTGAATGCAATAAAAAAAATCATAATTTGACGAGACTCGACTGAATCTATATCACTCGTGATTAACAAATAATAATATCATTTGTGCATTACATTACACTTATAAAAAAAATGTTTCAAAGGTTTCTAACTAGTAACTAGTTCTCAAAGGTAAATCGGACGAGAAAAAATGACTGTTAAGAAAACTGTCCAACGCCCTGAATAATCGCCAAGTGTGCTTTGCATAATCATTGATACTAGATAATAAATCAAGCAATCAGAGTAGCTGCAATGAAGAGTTCTATCATTTAAAGTTTAATAACTGTGAATTTGAATCTTAGAAATCTTAAAGATTACAAAACAAGTAGAAGGATTAATTTAATTTATACTTTTATCATTTGTAGTTGTAAATAAAGGCACTAAAAACGAAACTTAAAGGAAACTCGTGAGCTGACGTACTTTTGTCTCGGGGACAAAACCTCACTTAAGGTCGTTGCGTTGCCGAAGTAATAAGTGACGTATTACAAGTATGATTTATATGTCGTAAAGGACTTTACAATAAATTTATGCTATTTTATTTCATTTGTACTAAACTCCAGTCCAATAGGAAACTGACAAAATAATAATCAAAGAGACTACTTAAGGCAGATTTATAAGCATTAAAAATATAAAATCATAAAACACTACGTATACAGTCTTATTACACTTTTTCAACTAGTGAGTACACTTCGACGGCGCGGTGCCTCGATGTATTAAAGGTACAAAATATTCAGCGGAGATAAGCAGGAAATAAGCACAGTTGACGCTTTCACTTTCTAGAAATTATCAAGTTATTGATCTGTATTGTAATACAATGGCTCACATAATGGTCTAAGATCCCGCTATACAACGACCTTCACCGAGATGCTTATTTAATGAAACTTATTTTATATATAATTTAATATGTCAATAAATATAATCCATATGGGTTGCCTAGCAAATTTCAGTCCAGAGTATGTTTAATTAATATTAAAAAAAAAAATTTTTTTAAACATTTCACCGGTATGATTATTAGATAAATTCTATACCAATCGAACGTATGAAGCCCATAGAATATGCAAACGTTAGGTTGTTTTTAATCAATTAATTATTTATGTGTATATTTTTTATGTGACACTAAAGTATGTATACATCTTTAGTATAAAAGAAGGTTATAGTGATACATAATATATAATACTACCCTGATTAAAAATATTGATTGAAAAAAGTTCAAATAATTTACTACATGCAAATTATAAAAAACAATTTTTTTTTTTAATATTAATTAAACATACTCTGGACTGAAATTTGCTAGGCAACCCATATGGATTATATTTATTGACATATTAAATTAAATATAAAATAAGTTTCATTAAATAAGCATCTCTGTGAAGGTCGTTGTATAGCGGGATCTTATACTATAAAGAAAAAAGCTGAAGAAGGACACTTATATTATTAATTCAGGAATATTTTGTTCTATGTTACTTAGTTTTGGAAAAAGAAAAGAGCACCATTTTTGTTAAAGAAAGTCTATTAATTGAAACGAACCGAATGGGAAAAGGAAAAATAATATATCGCTCATAACATATTTTTATTTAATTTTTTCTCTTTGATTATTATTTTGTGTTTATGTGTGTCTGATTTTGTTTGTAATAAATGATATGTCTATGTCTAATTTGTAGTAGTACTCTGGTTACCAAGATCAATATTAAAAAACAAGTGGCGCTACAACCTCTAGGTTTTGGACTTAATTTTCTTACGTAATCATTTTTTTCTTAATTGACAAGAAGGAGCCCTCTATGCCTGACACACTACGTCGATTTTTAGGTCGAGGCTATGCCTTTCGACGTGATGTTTTACTTTACCTTACGAGTGAGTGTAATTGCGCACATAGTAAGAAAAATGCACGGTCTCTACGCGAACACGACCTCAGGGTTGCTTTGTTTTACATCCTTGTATATACGTAAGATGTGAGAGATTTTTTTGAAAACGCCTAATCAGTTTAAATAACGATTCTTTCGACCATATCATGTAAATATTTCATAAATAGGTAGGTCAGATAACTGAATAATAACTGTCTTTATAACATTTGTAAAGCAAATAGTCTATTAACAGAATATGTGTGCCTGATAACCCACACACACCCTCCCAAATACTCACTTACATACACACACACACACTCACACAGGTACACCCATACTATACTATGTCTGTAGTAATCTTGTTGACTGTTTTGATGTGTTGTTTTTTTTTCCTTTTTTATAAAATTTATATTTTGTTTGCCTACTCATATATGTAGTTTTTTTGTTATGACTCAGTATGACTTTGCTGTGGAATGGAAGTCTGGTTATAGAAATATCCATATCACAGGTTCTTACCTAGCTTTGAAACCAGTCTCCCAATACCTTCTTAATTGTAATCGTACTGTTTGTTTCAAATGTTATATTGAAGAAATAAAGAATTGTATTGTTATGTCTGGGTATAAAAATTATTATTTAGTATTTTCCCTCCGTCGCGACTTCTCCTTGCTATCATAGTAATATAGGAATTAGTGATAAACACTAAAATCACTAATTCTTAGGTCCTTCTAACTATATGTTACGCTCTTCTAATAGATGTTTATTTGGAAATTCCATCCCACACTTCATCCTTCTTAGGCAATTAATTTACGATCTCCGCTATTAAGTTCTGGAATAGGCTGCCCGACTCCATACGATTGGCTACCTCTCTGTCATCTTTTAAAACTCTTCTGTATAATCATTTCTTAACCTTATCCTATCCTGATCAATCGTGACTCGTATATATATATATTTTATATAACATTTGTTTCTGCACTTCTCGCACGCATCATGTTTCTTTTGTTTTTTAAGTTTTTCTCTTTAACTAGGGTTGCCTGGTTTCTTATGCTGTGATCGCTTAATAGCGATAAGGCCGCCCGTTGCATCCCTTATAATTTTTATGTATTGTGTTTCTTTTATTTGCAACGAAGTGTAAATAAATAAATAATAAGTTTATAAATGGCTAGCAAAAACCCAAATTATATCATTTACAGGAAGGAATCTATTTCGATATAGTTCCTAGTTTGCCTTACTTAGAGTAAGAATCTACATCATAAATGTATTGGATTCATGACATTCGGCAGTCATAAGTCAAGTCTCGTATCTGTATCTTACCCTTCGTGTTTCTAAATGTTGACTCTAAATTACTTCTTTATCCAATTTTAGTTGTATTCTTTGTTGAAATTAAAGAGTTTTCCGAACATGTCAACCTTCGTCATAAGAAAATATTACGATCTAATTATTATTTCTTCTGAATCGATTTGAACTTGGACTGTTCATAGTTTGAAGTTAACTTGATTTAAATTTAAAACGACAAACATTTTTTTTTTAATTTCGCGCACACGCCTAGCTATACTCAAATATTGTCCAATTCCAAAAATGCTGATCAAACCGTCCTTCTTTTGAAGCTGGTTGTAAATTACTGGCTGTAAGACCACGATCAAGTAATGAAATTGGAGATGGCCTCGTAACGTGGAGCCTGGCACTGGTTTACCAAAAATAAAAATAGTCGGCTAATACTTAAGAAGTAGGTATACTCGTACATGTGACAGACGTCAGGGGAAAATGTAAGAAGTAAATTGACAAAGCTTCCGCACTTATTACACTACGCTAAGAGAATTTCATACATTTTCGGCATCTACAGCAATTTTTATTTTTCTTTTAACCTTTTCTAGTTTTCCTTCTATCAGCTTGGAAGGAAAAAACAATCAAATGACAAGTATGAAAAGCTATAAAGATAATACAAAATGGCTCTAAAATAAATCATAAATATGCGACATGAGACATCATTTCGACGGAGATTTTCTACAGACATATGTGAATTGTATCTTATCTTCTAAATATTCACCAACTAATGTATTTTCAGTTTTAGTTCGTTCGTACTACACTACATTCTACTAATATTATATTAAAAACTCAAGATAAGGTAATTCTAAAATGAGGATTTTAAAATTTGATGAAAATGGCAATACTACTAATGCAAACTTTTTACGTCTAAAAGCATTATGACATAAAATTCTCCCCCTCGGTAATCTTTACGATACTTTTTATATATCTTAAATATACTTTTATTCCTACTAGAATATTAAATATAGTATTTTTATTACTTGAACGCTTTCCGTGTCATAAAGATAATGTATTATCGGAGTTAGCGAAGTGAATATATAGGTTCAGATGAGGCAGGGATATCACCTCCTAAAATCGGTGGAATCTGATTTGGACCTATGGTGACGGGATTTATTTTTACTCCTCAAATTTCATAGAAGAAAAAATCTTGACCCTCATCTCTTGTCATTATTAACAAAACCACCTTTAGTTAATACGCAGTAGTAAGTTGTCCAACATCATTTAAGTGTATTAGCAAATCTTAAAAATATATTAGTTTCTGAGTTCCGACTTTAAAGGCACGAATGATAACATTTTCAAACACATCGTAACAAAGTGAGGGCAGGCTTGCAGCAACCGAATAGTACCTACTAATAATAGTAGTTTCATTTACTGATCAATAATAACATTTTTATTTAGTAAAGACATTTCTACCCTCTAAATCTTAACCACCAAAATATGAAACTGTACTGTAACAACGTTTTCCCCATAAAATAAATAAATAGGGTGT